CAAGACAAGCTGCGACCTTACAACGGTTACACCCACAAGCATTTAAATATTGCAGCCGTTACCGTTATTTTCCCATCTACACATACATACATATATATGTATGCTGGAGGTATGCACCACCGCTGTTCGTAATGCGCTGAATGCCCATATCGATACTTTAATATCCGAGTCGTTTGAGAAAATGAAGAAAAAGAGGTGCTCCAGCAACTGTCCGAAATTACTTCCTATGTTTTGCGGAGGCATTAAAGGACTTGCACACACACACATACATACGAATGCATGTATATTTGTATATGTGTGCGCCAGCATGTAAATAACGCGCAGCTCTCCAAACGCCGCTCGAACGTTCGGTAATGCCTTTACACTTCTTCGTCTCGTGTTTTTAAGATTTTTATTTCTTAGCTCTTTTTTATTTCATTATGCCACTTTTTACTTCGACTCGAATTCTGTCCATTGCAGCTGTGTGTATGCACGCATTCTTTGCCATTTTCTCATGGCCGCTTATTACTTGCCGCTTGGCTGCCTGCTTATGCATTTTCGATTGCTTGCTGACCAATTGAGTCGCCCTTTCGTTTGCTCATTTTTTGCTGCTACTTATGCAATTATTTATACGTAGTTTTTCTTTTCCTGCACTTGTTCATGCCTTGTTTTTGCTAGCTGCTGACGCCAATCCAATCGGCTGGCAATATTTTTTCGCCACCATTACAGACCATTATCACATTTGAGTATGCAAGTGCAAGAAAAAGAGGAGAGAAAAATAAGAACATTGCGAGTGTATTTGTGCCAATAAACAGGCAAACACATGTACGCAAGCGTACTGGTATGCCACTCACTACAGTCTAATGACTTCGTCTTCAACTATCAATATCCTTTTCCGTTTTTAGTTCAAGTTCAGCTTTTATTACTTTTTCATTTGCCACATTTCATCTGTAATTTTTTTTGTTTTCTTCTTCTTCCACTCGCAAATACTCTTCGAACTTTGCTGGCACAATTTGTTCATGCTTCCCATCGTCCTCCGCCGTTGTTGCCAGCATTGCTTTTTCTTGACTTTTTCGCGCCAAAGTCTATTATAAAAAAAAAGTAAGTAAGTTGTGCGAGTGCGGGCGAATGTGTCTCTTTCATCTTCTTCTTCCTTCCTTCCTTTTCCTCGATTACACTTAACTTTTTCATTTCTGCATTTCTTCTTCTCTATTTGTTTTTTTTTTCATACTCCTATTTGCATTAAGCAAAGATAAGTGCGAGCGAGTAGATACTGCCTGCCTGCCGCTCAAGTGTTCGAATTGAAGTGGGCGTACGAGCGTCGAGAAGATATTCTTCATTGCACTTGAGTATCTGCTATACAAAGTATGTGCTTACCAAGAAATACATACATACATACATACATACATACACAGTTTTCATATGTAGTTGAGTTGCGGCAGACTACAAACGCTTTCGGTGTGGCATGGAAGCGTGCGAGTAGTGCTAAATAAACACAGGATATGTCCATATATACAGAGGAAACATACACACACTAACACACATATACATATGCTGCATCATTTGTGCTGAATACTTCTATGTCCTTCTATGAAACGTTTATTAGGATATACAACATAAAGTAATCTCAACAGTTTTTTATTGAGTCCATTCGAAAATGTGGGCCAAATAAGCTGGTGACTACCTCAACATATATAACGTTTGGGTGATGATTTTCATATATGTATTAAATGTGCTCGGTTTTGAAATTTTTGTGGGTGACAAGAACGGATAAGTATTGTAAACGCCCTTTTACTTATTTTAATTTTTTTAAGCAAATAAGTTGGAAACACAAATTTCGAGGATATTAATCTTTAAAATATAATTTTTACAAAAAATAAAAATTGAAAATGTTCACGGATATTCAAGGACAAAATTTTAGAAGAACAATTTCAATACATACTCGTCCTTGTGCACAAAAAAATTAAATATTTTTTTAATTTTACAGAATTTTTTCTTTTATTTGATAACCATAGTTTTATGCAACCAACATACATGCACTGCACTTTTTAAATAATTTTTTGAAATATATACATATATATTTGAAAGTTCAATGTCCTTAAAGAAAATACAGACGTCAGATAGAAAAACTAAAAACGCAGTTTTGAAATATTTGAGGTGTATTTAGTTTCGCGAGTATATTGAATTACTAGTTTGTCTAATTGGCTGTCGCACGGTTCTATTTTACATTTCTTCTATTTTCATTTATTTATCACTGTGAGTCAAATAAAAAAGCCGTTAATTGCCTCACTCATCCAGCTTTAGAAAGGTCCTGATTGGCACATTTCGGCTTTTCATTTTATTTCGTTGTCCACCCATGGATGCTGAGTCGAGGGATCTTTTGACCAGAGCGTCGTCATTCTTGCGTCCAACATTGCCAAGCCAGCGCAACGTTAAAAAGCTCGTCTTTCCCTCTTCTTCAGTACCCATCGGCCACGCGAACAGGACCTTAGATGTTGCATAATATAGTTCCCTCGAAATCGTCCAAAAGCCTTCTCATCTTGGTTAGACCTCATCCATCTTTCTGCGTTATATAAAATCTCGTTGATCGTACTTTTTGTTCGCCGAGAGTGGGATCTGATTTTCTTCCGATCAGCTGTTGGACGAGTTATTCTTCGCTTGATTTCCAGGCTGGCGTTGTTGGCGGTGCTTAATGGTTAATCGTAGTCCTTGAGTACTTCAAAATTGCAACAACTGCCAAAAGTGACGCGTGTTACAAGAGTCTATTGTTTTAGTGTGTTGCCAGGAGATACTTTGACTTGCTTTCGCTCACTACTAGCCACATTTACTATTTCCACAGCCTAATGCAGTGGCAGCTTGCTAACCTATACCATTTTTCACATTTCTTCTTTTCTAAACTAAAGTACTGCATATGCCAAATTTAATTTAGTATTTTTTTGCGTAGTTCATAAGCGGATTTTTCTCCCTGTGAAGTAATAACAACACTCTAAAAAGTGCATGTAAAACTACTACTGAAAAGTGTTTATTTTTCAACCAGAATATGTTCAAGTATACGCACAAGATGTTCAAGATTGGATTTTGAACATGAGTTGTTTAAAATATACACATGAAATGTTTAAAATTACAAATATTTTGAAGGTAAAAATATATTTTTTACAAATAATAAATACTAAGTGCCAGGGGCGCATGCAGGAATATATTTTTTGGGGGAAATGGCTTATACTTCTAAATATATATCATCAGCAAATACTGAAAATTCGCTCTTTAAAATACATTTCTGAAAGTTTTATTTACAGTATGAAATAAATAAATAAACTTTTTAAAGTATCGTCAATTGCATTTTATTTACATAAAATTTACAAAGAACTCAGACATTTTTAACCAGCTTCAAAAAAGGGGAGGTTATCAATTCTTCGGAGTATTTTTACTTCTTTTATTTATTCCACCGCATAACTTTGCACCGCGTGAACCGATTCCAATTATTATTCTTTTTACCGGAAAGATGGTACCTTAAGGATCGTCTCGTAATTTGGTTTAGATCCGATCATTAAATCATGAAAAAATTAAGGGTTAAAGATGCACTCAGCTTTCAAAAGTAATACAAAATTTTTCAAAAGAATTTTAATCTAAATAAGTTAAATAATTTCACGAAATTTTTACACTTTTTTATTAATTTTCGTCGATTTCTGGTTTCTTATTTTTTAATAATTCGCATAACGAAAATTTAACTGAACTTGTATTTTTTTTTATTATCATGTAGCTCATTTTGGTGGAACGAATTCGAAGTTAGCAAATTAAATCTTCGAATGCTTATTAAGTACATATCAGTGGTAAACTTTTTTAGGCTGTAAAGTGTAAAAAGCAACAGTAAGTGAGTATGCATTGCATATTTTTAGGACAATGTTTTCATTCGCAGTTAAACTTTAAAGAGCTCTCAAGAAAAAAAGAAAGATTCTTACAAAATGACGCACAAGAAATGGAAAAGAAAATTTTTTCTTTCAAAATTTCTTATATCATAATAAATTTAGCCCCAAAACCCACCCTTGTGTGCGCTACGTGACAAATTTGATATGTAAAAGTAAACAGACATTGTTTAATTTTGCACACACTAAGAGAGGAAACTGGTTACCTCTCTTTATATGCGCAAATGTAAACGAAAATTTTTTAGAGGAAATTTTAAACATTTATGTGTAAACTGTGAAAATGTGAACAATAAATTAAAACTCAAAAAACAAATTTGAAATTTGTTCTACGCCACACATATGATAAGTAAAAGTAAGCCAGCAGAGTTTAAATTTGCATTCATTAAGAGAGGAAACTGGTTACCTATCTTAATATGCGCAAATTTAAACAAAAATTTTTTAGAGTGAATGGTAGAACGTCGGTACAATGTGTACCAAGTGCATTATCTAAATGATTGGAAGACTTTTTCAATAATCTTCGGAGCTTTTTCGCTTGCTAATGGAGCAGTACTTATCGTACCTTTGCTGCAAGATTGTCGTGATCCAAAAAAATAATAATTTTTTCTGAGTTTAGTATGCAGAAATGACTACAACAAATTCTTCCATGGTCGGTAAAAATTAGTTGTATCGATTAACAAAAATTGAAAACACTTTTCATATCATTATTTTACTTTGAATCTGTTAAATCATTTCTTCTTATAGATACATACATACAGATTTTCCTCTTTAATTTTTACTCGTGGCTTAATCAATAAAATAAAATTGTGATAAGAAATTATTGTAATATGTATTTATAATTCCCTTCTGCCTTTTTTTCAGCGCGATGTGCTCATACTGGAACCATCGGGTTCAGATATACTCAGCTGCGTGTCCAAGGGCAAGCGTGAGGTATGTATACGAATAACCAATAACTGAGATAAAATATCAAATTAGTTATATTGACTAAACCTAAAAAACTTAATTTTTTTAAATTCAATACATACTTATGTACTTATAAATTTAAGTTATATACCCAGTACTCAAAAATTAAATAATACTAAGTACGTACTTAAGTGCATGTACACTACGCAATTTAAAGTGTTACAACATTAATATTCACCTACCCACCCCACCTACCTACACTCATTGCACAATGCAACCACGCAAACAAAAGAACACAAGTGTATGGAAATTTAAATAAATTAAGCGATATTTCAATGTACTCGTACAAGTTTTTCAAAATTTAATAAATTACACAAAACTGTATTTTTGGCTAGTAAAATTAACTTGAAAAAGATATAACTGTTTCAAAGTGATTAATGCAAATATGCAATTGTGTTTTTTTTCTCTCTCCCTCTCCTTTAATTTTTCTCCGTATGTGCTTTTGGTTTGCCATTTATTTTCGATATTATTATTTTCACGATTTCCTTGCTTTGTGTGTGTGTTTAACTTTCGTTCTTGGTACAATGTGACAAATAAAAAAAAAATGATAACAAACAACTGTAACACAACAATGTCAACACGTATGGACGCACACACACACCTCATGCAAAAAAAAAACTTACTTCAAGAAGGTGGAATGCCGCAACCACATACGCGTCATACAGCCGATGGACTCTGGGGCGCGCTTATATGTATGCGGCACGAATGCGCACAATCCAAAAGACTATGTGATAAATGTGAGTATAGATAATGGGCGACCATGAAATTACACATTGTACATACATATATATGAATGTCCTTATAAGTAAGTATATCTACATAGATACATGTACATATATATCGAAACAATTTAACTATTTCCTTGGATATTGTTGCTGTGTAATTTCGGTTATTTGGCTTGTTGTTATTTTATTGAGGCTTTTGGTTAGCCTTGTATAGCCACAACTGCCCCACTCACACGTACATACATATGCATATACGCAAGTATTATGGTGGAAGTATGTGTGCGTCTGTGATATACGCCTTGCTTTATTTGCTTTACATCGTTGCCACACTGATATTTGCACATTTCGGTCGCATTCGAGCCAAACTAATGTGCGGCGGTGGGTCCGGAATTTCCACTGCTGCTGCATCTCCTACCTTCCTCCTAATACAAATACACCATTTAGAGCATTTCTGGTTCTGGCGTGGTAGTAGTTTGTGTAATAAATGAGCTTAAATAAACCGGGATTAGTTTGTTGCGCCACAAAGCAGTGTCAGCTACCGGCCAACTGACAAATACAGATACTGACAAACTCTATACATAAACATGTACATATGTATGTATGTATGTATGTATGTACGTATGTTTGTATAGCAGCCTAGCGCGTGTGAACATTGCTTCGAGATTAGTTGGGTGGTCAGGACCATGACAACATTTAGCATTAAATTAAAGTCACTATGTGGCAAATATCTTCGATTTAATTGCGTTCAACGGAAATTTATTTAATGCTCCTTAGCTTTGTTCAATTGTATGCAAAGTGGAAATCTGTGGAGATATTTCACTTTTGGTTGTTAAGTAAGTGTGGTAAGAGATTATTTTCTTAGAAATCGGAAGCATATTTAAGCAATTGTGCATAGTTTTATGTAATTTTGAAGGATTTCTAACTGAAAACGTTAAAAATTTAATACGATTTCGAAAATATAATCGAATTTTGAAAAATTAAAGGTTTTGAAATTTTTGAGGAATTTTCACCCCAAAACTTTGCAAACTGGTTTTCTCCTGTGAAAATCTGCGCCAGTTTTGTACACCAACTTTAGGAAGGTCCGCCCTATATTAATGCGGAGTTCAAGGATATTTTCACCGGAGCATGTCCGAGCTAGCGCAATCGTTTTATTAGTGGTCATATACGTTCATACCATTTATGTTTTGTAATGTTCTGTACCCATTTTATTTGGTACCTATATATCCCTTAAGCAAAAATATGTCTTCCGGGCAATTTGCGCAATTTGTGCATTTTGCATTGAATTGCATTTGCACTTTGTAGTTAAGCGCATTTTGGCAGAATAAATTATAGCAAGTTTCCCCCTCATTCTTTATCTCTGATGCTTCTCTGGGGCAAATGCAAATTTGATTACAAATTGTTAAGCAAAAAGTTAAAATATGTGGGTTATTTTGAAATGCGAAAAGTGCAAGCATTGAATGCGATAGGTGGAAAATTTATGATATCAAGTGAATGGCGCAATCTTTAAAATAAAAGATGTTAGTTTTGTTTTAGAACAAATTTAAAAGTTGTATGCTTTGGTAAGCATTTTGTTGCAACGTGATCGATAAAGTGCTTTAGTTGCAAATTTATAGACGAGGATCCATAATCTTATCCTACATGTATTTGATTACAGTACATATGTATGTAGTTTGGGTTGGTAGACTGCAAAGCAAATTTGTCAAAAATTCGCGTTTTTGACAATATTTGAGAAGTTCTAGCGACGAAACAAATGGTGAAAGAACCTCCCACCTATATCTAAACTTTCGACTATAATCCCTGAAAATGCCATCCCTGCACCGTAACCTTAAAGTCACATAAATATAGTCATTTATTAAATAGCAAAAATTTAGTTTTGCGAAGTTTGAGTACCTACCGCAACAAATAAAGGGTGGTAGAATATTTTACTTGGAAAAGGAAAATGCATACCAATTCCTCTTTGAACGACTTCGAGGAGGCATGCCAGTGCAACAGCCTCGGATTCTTCCACGTAGTCTCCTGCCTTCGGCAATTCATCGGCCTTCTCATTGTCTTCAATGTTCCTATATTCCTAAGTCCGGAAACCCAGACAAGAGAGACGCTTATTGTCGCAAGTACTGAGATTCCCTTTTACACTTCTGGACTAGCTGGGATTTGGTAATCGATGATGCTAGTGCTAACAGAGCCGCTTAGCTGTCAGAGTATATTGTTGCATTCTTAATTCTTCCGATGCCTTCTCCTATAACCTTACAAGATTCAAAGATGCCTAAGACTTCCGCTTGGAAGATGCTTGCCGTATTCCTTAGATGAAGAGACAAGGAGACGCGTTCCTCGGAGTTTACACCTGCCCCAACACCTCTGACCGTCTTTGAACCGTCGATGTAGAAAGAGATTGCCTCTTTATTGGCCACTCTACCCCCCCTCCACTCTATACTGGATGAAATTCTCACATGCATATATATTCGAAACTGAGGTTAGATACTATAGAGTCGGTCTTTTGTCGTGATTGTATTTCATTGATGGTCGTCCCATGCCGGAATTGGCGTATTCCCCATAGTCCAGACTCTCTTCTTTTAGGTGGAGATCAATACGGATTAAGTGTAAGATTGTGTTTGTTGAGGTATTTTAGTATGCCGTTCAACACTATTACCCACAGCAATGGTGAAAGAACGCCTCCCTGTGGGGCATCTCAACCTCTACTCACATTATGGGTCAGAGACGCAGTCCCATTTGTAGCGTGAATTATTCTATTGTCTAGCATTGCTTGTATCCATCTTCAGACACTGAAGCTGAGCTCTTGAAGTAGTCACTTCCCCTAGTGGCGGTCTTAAGTAAAACTAGGAAGGGCTTAAAGGTCTTCGGAGCCAAAATTAAGCAGTTTGCCATTTCTTCTCCAACTGGCTTAAGAAATCAATATTATTTTACTTTGTGAATATTACCTTCAAGTTATTATTTGCGTTAAATCTTTGACTCTATCCTTAATGCTGTTTTTTTTTTTTTAAGAAATGGAACCTCTTTCTCCAACAGAGCCGGCATATAACTACATACATAATTGATTTTTTTCCGTTTAGTCATCAAGGCAAAATCAATTTTCCTGCTTACTTAATAAACATTTTTGAAGCACACCAAAGAAAAAAGAAAAAAAAAACAACGAAACGTGTACAAATTTCCGCACGTAGCCCAACCAATAAATGGCATTTTCAAAACGACTTTTCACGGGCACACATACAATTAGAGAAAGAAAAAAACATTAAATACCAAAACATTTTCAAATGCTCAGCCGAATATGCACGCAGAAGTAAATATACATACATACAAACATACATGCATATGTACTGAAATAAAATTGTTCAAAGAAATTTTCGATTTACAATTTTGTATTCAATACACTGCTGTTTGTGTCTGGCCCCGTTGGCTGCAAAGCGGGGTGTCGCCAATGCTTACGAAGAATTGCAAATCCCCCTACCAAAAACCCCAGCAATAATTTTTGTTTTGGCTGCTATCGCTACTGCATTTTTCACAAGCAAGTAGGGAAGAATGTATGTATGTATGTATGTGAGGATGAAGGTAGTGGCAACGAAAAATCGAATTAAATAAACAAACGCGTAACGTGAGCAAAATACCAAATGATATTTTAAATGACGGCACATTCGATAGCATTCGAAGCTTTTGCCGATCGGTTCTTGTATTTGTTATTGCAAGAGCAAGTAAGTATTATTCCATTTTTTATTTAACTTTGTAATATGCGCCGTATGTTTGTGTCTTTCAATCGTAGTAAGTATACACGCTGCTATTCGTATTAGCTGAATCGTTGGCGAGTAAAGGTGGGAAGCGGAGGGAGGCCAAAAACCATTTTACATGTTCTGCCAAGCGATTACATTCCTTTCTGTCGCGCGCTTGAACTTATATTTATTTTGCCTATTCTTTTTCATAAATTGTTGATTTTGCATTATTCAATTGTTGCTTGCATGTAGTAGTAGGGTGCATCGCCGCAACGTGCCGCAATTTTACTTATAACGTTTGTTTGTGTGTGTTCGATAGAAATTTTATCACGATTTAAATAAAAGCGATATATTTGTTAAATAATCGAATGTTTTGTGAACATGCTTTTGAATTTACATGCGTACTACTTAGTATATGTATTTACATCCAATTGGTAATACAGTTCCATATATTTTAATCTGTGCATAAAAATATCAAAAGGTAAAACCATTTTCCAATTCTGGGCTTTTTTGGTTATTTGCTATTTAGGTTAAGTGGTAGTTGTCAGTTGGGGACACAATCGGATATTATTCAAGTTGCTCTTTGTGATCTTGAACAATAACCACTGCTCATTCGATGAAAGGCTGCGACCCAATCATGGCGCTATAGAGACGGCTATTATTAGTCCATGGGGGCTTTTCAAGATTGGTTAAGTGCGAGTCAAGGTACTTGAATTTTATCAATTCCTTGAAAAAACTGAACAACCTACTATTAGACACGGGGGGGATTTCATCTCATCATCCTCGAGATAACTGTAGCAGTAAGAATCACATGTGGTTTTTGGTATTGCTGTGTGAATAACTATGGGGCAGCGACCTTTAAAAATCCCCACTAAAAGCGAGAGTGAGGTCTTGTTGCGAGAGTGAGGTGCTCCTTTCATCGCCCAGCATAAAATATGATCTTTAATAAGCATTTGTCATAGAAGATCGCCTCACAAATCCCACTGTAAAGCTTCGAAACATCAGTGAAAAATTTCACTGCTACCTAACTCGCTTCCTTTTAGTAAAACCCTAAAAAATTTCACCATAAAAGAACTCAATAATCATTAAAATCTATATCGGTTCAAGCCAATGCTTTTCAACTCAACTGTTTTCGTACTGAATGAAATACTGAATGAAATACTTACTCATCGTCAAGTCGTTCAGTGGGAATCGAGGTTTACATAAATCTAAATATTTTTTCCAATGTATAGCTCAACCTGAGGCACTCTACAGTGATCTGCCAGACGAAGATTCAGCGAACAATTTTATAAGCCATTTGAGAAGTGGTAATGCTCAGCAGATATAATGCAAAAGTAAGCAAACAATAAACAGGCGCGCAAGCTGATATGTATTAGAACTACATACATTAATGTATGCGTGTACTTCCTTTTATGTTGCGTATACGCTAC